ACAACCAGAACTTAATGAACAAAGAGAACTGATTCATCAACAAGAGAACTGACTCACCAACAATCAGAACTGATTCACCAACAACCAGAACTTAATGAACAAAGAGAACTGATTCATCAACAAGAGAACTGACTCACCAACAATCAGAACTGATTCACCAACAACCAGAACTTAATGAACAAAGAGAACTGATTCATCAACAAGAGAACTGACTCACCAACAATCGCAATGATTCACCAACAACAGAACTGATTCACCAACAACAGAATTAATTAACAATCGTAATGATTCACCAACAACATAACTGATTCACAACAACAGAACTGATTCACCAACAACAGAACTGATTCACCAACAACTACCATAAGAGTTGAATCAGAACAAATGGAGATGTTCCTACAGGAACAACCAGAACTGATTCTGCAAAATTTTGAGCTTCAGCAGCAACATGAGCTCAAAACAGCTTAAGATTTTTAAACCTCTCTAACTAAAAGCATTTATTTTTTTAAACTCAGACATCATGTTTCTGTCTTCTTCACAATAAAGTGGTGAAATATTTAAAGAATAAACTAAAACCAGAGCTGCAGCTTGGTTAAACCCAAACCTCAGGTTGCAAACTGCTGGCAGTTCTGTCACTGACTTTACAGAGTTTAGGGAGGATGATGTCATCAGTTTTAAGTCTTCAGGGGTTTGATTTATTAATGAGAATTTACAGAAATATTATATAGAATTGTAGCTTATTTAAAGTAAATTTTATATCTTCAGAGAGCATTTATGTACATTTTGTGGACTGGAGTAAATAAAAGATTATATTCGCAACCAGTTGTTATTTTGTTTTTGTATCTCTGGGCTTTAAATTAATCTACATGTGTGTTTTCTCAGAAAAAATAAACAAACAGCTAAACTGATAACATAATGACTTATTTGCTGAAGAAGCTAAAACTGAGCTGTTAAAGCTAAAAGAAGCAGTACACTAATTAAAGGCTAATAGAAGCAACAGGCTAAGGTAACATAAGGCTAAATATAAGTTAAAAGTAAATTTCTGTTTAAAGAAGCCAAATGCTAGCTAAAAAATAAAATAAAAGCTATAATACTGCTAATAAAATTCTACAGGTAGCAAGAGGCTAGGTACAGGTTAAAAGTAGCACAATGCTAGTCAAACTGCTAATTAAAAGCTTCAGGTAGGTTGAGTCTAGCTAAAAGGTAAAAGTAGCAAATTTCAAATGCTAGCCAAAAAAAACGCAAAATAAAAGCTAGCAAACTGCTAATTAAATAGAAAGAGGTTAGCCAAAAGTTTAAAATAGATAATGTTAGGTAAAAGTATTAAGATCCYAGCTAAAACAGCAATAGACTTATTAAAAGCTGAAGAAAAGCTGTTTTTACATTCATAAGAAGCTGATGTTTACTTTTTTTTACACTTTTTTATTTTTTGTCAGAAGCAGTTTTCGGTCCAGATGTTGGACTCTGTGATTAAATGTGTTTGTCGTTCGCTGCCAGCTCTGCCCTCATTTGCATCTGTTAATGACTCCATGATGCCAGTTTGTGATTCTGCAGCCACACATTAACGCTCCGGCTCTGGCGCCAGCTGCGATTCGTCCAGGGGGTCCTGTTTCCGTCCGGTACCAGCAGCACATCTCGTGATCTGCATCACAAAACAACTGCAGAGACTACGAGTTGCTGCTGCAGCCAAACATCACTACAGGCTGACAGATTACTGAACGTCTCAATCAACAGCTGAGATTACTGCGCTGCTGCTGCCAGCAGTACTGTTTACTGTAAACAATACTGTTTATTTACTACCAGCAGTACTGTTTACTGTAAACAATACTGTTTATTTACTACCAGCAGTACTGTTTACTGTAAACAATAC